GTTCAATATAACAACAATATAACTTAAAACACAGCCTTATTATAGAAACCCTCAAAAACATTTGAACACATTTTACTTACTCGTTGTAGATTCTTATTTTAAGCCTAATACATATCAGACACTACATCTGAATTGATGGACAGAGAATAGAGCACACTAAGCAGTAAACAAATCAAACACCTGGCTCCCTTAAAGGGCCAGCATTTTCTGAAAACTCTTTCTAACACCTTTGTGTTTAGAATAAGACAGACAGCCTGTGGGAGTGTGTGGTGATGCCTAAATCATTATTTTCTGCCTTTAAAATGCACGTCTCTATAAATAGCAACATAAACCATCAGAGAAGATGGGACAGTTATGGTTGAACAGTAATTTGCTATTTATTGTCAGTTACTATCTGTAATGAGTACATAAAGTAAATTACTGTAATTTATTTTTGCACTACACAATTTCATACAAAGTCTACTCCTTTTACAGTAAAATAATATGTGTTAATAAATAATAAATGTTTCCTTTTATTACAGCAAAACACTGGCTATTTTACAGTTATTTATTGCACAATCTACAGAGTAACAGTGCAGTTATACTAATTAAACACACCTGATTAAACTAAATCTAAAGGTAGTGTGTTGGAGCAGGGCTGGAACTAAATTCTGCTGGGCTGCGGCCCTTCAGGAGTTTGACATCCCTGGTACATAGCATATTTTCAAAGGAATTGCCTACATTTATCACAATCATGCACATATCATTGAATAAAAACAATAAAAATATAAAAGCTTCATCCAAAGCAAACAAATAAAAAAATAAATGAATAATCTGATCCTCATGTTGTTCCAAACCTGTAGTAGTAGTAGTAATAATAATAATAATAATAAAACAAATAACCTGATCAATACATTTATTTAGGAAAGTCTTTATACTATACTGTTAATGCCACTTTTACCTACTTCATTTGAAGTTTTCCAAACAAATTCATTGAGTCTCTGCAAAAATGTATGTACGTGCTGTTTAAGATATTTTTTAAATAACACATTTTTACTAGTTATTTAGCAAAATACTAATATTCAGCTTAAAGTGCAATTTAAAAGCTTAACTATATGGTTAAACTAGGCAAATTAGATTAATTATAGAAAATGAAAACAAAGTTATATAAAAAAGATTGTGATAATTTGGTTGCTCTGTGTGAATACTTTTTGCCTTTAAATGCATCTCGTCGATATCTTTACCTTTTAATTAGCTCTGTGACATTGACATTGGTTGACTCCTGATACTCAATGTTAAAAACATAAAAAGAACCAAAGAGAACACAGAGATGGCTGCAGAGAAATTCAGCTTATCATCAATGCATGGTCTCACTTTCTCCTCAATACTGACCATACACATACCAAAACTGAACTGAATGTATATATATATATATACATATATATATAGCAACGTAAAGCATCAAAGTACATGGGGTAATAATGGTTGAGCAGTAATTTACCATTTATTATCACCGTAACTATCTGTAATGGGTACATAAAGTAAATTACTGTAATTTATTCTTTGCACTACAAAATTTCATACAAATCCTGCTCATTTTACAGTAAAATACTGTTTCCTTTTATTACAGCAAAACACTGGCTATTTTACAGTTATTTACTGCATAATCTACAGTAAGGGTTAACATTGCTGTTAAAAGGGGAAAGACCTTGAGCCAGAAATCGAACTTGGGTCACTTTAAGCACCTCAGTGCAACATGCATGTGTATGCATATTTATTTACTTGCATATGTATGCATGCATATTTAATATACATATATAAAACTATGATGTGTTTAATACTTACTATCCTCCTGTATGTGAGTATCTGCAGTGCACAGCATAATTTAGTACTACACCTTATTTTGAAAATTGATATTTTTATCCATTTCTCAATGAATATATGTAACCCCACCGGTCCTACGCCACCCAACCCACGCCAAGCTGGTATTGAGCTGGTGAGGTTTACCTGCACAGCACTTCACTAGCTGGCCTCCGTTACACTCACCCTTCTAAATCTCACTCCCAAACGGGTCACGGCACCAATGTAAGCCTGCCGGTCCTACACCACCCAACCCGCTCCGAGCAGGTATCAAACCAGCAACCTACTGCATGGGAGTTGGTAGCTCTACCAAGGAGAGATTTTATGTCTAGATTTTACAAAAAGTTTAGTAAGCAAACATATTTAGAACTTGAAATATAATACAATTAAATCAAAATATTGCATTATTTTTTACTTCTCTTGATTTTTCCTTGTTTTTAAATTTGTATTTAATATTTTTCTATAACATAAATTTGGGTGTACTATTTTTTGGATCGTTATCATAAGTTATTTTGTTAAATAAGCTACAAATTTGGCTTAAATACTGACTAATCTAATATACACAAATACTGTACTGTATAATGTATATGCACAAATATAATATTGTATAGTTTCCTATTAAAAATATGAATAAAAAAAATAGATTTGTGAGGGGTGTACTTATATATGCTGAGCACTGTAAGTTATGTTTGTGTGTATGTATGATTGAATGTATTATTCTATATTAAATCTATAAAAATAACATATTAAAATGTTTAAAACATAACATATAGGCATTTTGTTGTTGTCCTGTTTCATGTTTTTTCTTTTGAATGTATCGTCAGGTCATAGAGGACAATTCTTGCCTCTTGTTTTATGAACAGTGTGAATCAGGCTCCAATATTATTGTTTGTTCATTAAATAGTACAAAAACAGGTCACACTTTATTTTGATGGTCCGTTTGTTGAATGTAAGTTACATTGCAACTAATTCTCATTAGATTATAAGTAGACTGTTAGGTTGTGGTTGGGGGTTGGGGTTAGGGTTAGTAGCAAAGTTTCTTATAGTGGACCATCAAAATAAAGTGTTACCAAAAAATAGTGTGATTTTGGATGCAGTTGTTAATGAATCATTAAATCTGTCATTTAAAACTGTAATTCAATAAAAATTTAGTTCATATAACTTGTTACTACCAAATACAGCAAACTTTTTAAATATTTCAGCAAAATGAGTCAATAACTAGTAATTAATTTGATTTGATTTGATGATTTTTTTGTTTTAATGCAATACTACAGTTATGTTGTTTTTTTTTTAAAACATAAGGCTGCTTAACCGTCCATGTTTTTTAAAGATACAGCACTCTTGATAGTGCAATGTTGCATAAAGAAGTGTATTTATATGAATTGTTCTCTTTATAATTTATGGAAATGCTTTAGCTGAAGTAATGACAAGCACTGCAGTCCCCGGAAGACATATTGTAAGGCACGCAGATCTGCAAACTTCATACATTTATTAAGATGCATCGCTTGTTGCATTTCTCATTTGTAGGTCAGTTAGGATAAAAGCATGCTAAATGATTTAATGTAAATGTATTCTTTCTTTGTCATTCTCAATAACTCTCTTTTTCTTATCCCAGCTCCCATCATACAGCATGTCAACAGTGTCTCACTGTGCTTGTCTGATTCTTTCATTTGGATTGGTGGTGCCCTTTTGTTTTAATAGTTGGCTCTCATCCAGCTTTTTTCACAACTGCAGGGACACAAATCCTCTGGCATTTCCTCTGAGCATTAGAAGTTACACCGCATTATATCATCATCTTGCCCTGTTGGAGCAATTGTGAAGTTATTGCTTTTTGGAGTGGAAATATCACAAAGACAAGAAGTGGAGTTGGGTGCTACCTATAGCCACGGGTCAAATCACAGATATGACAGAAATGGGATGGTTAGTCTCAGTGGAGAGTCTCATATCAGTAATTGACTGTGATATTTACAATAAAAGATTGTTCAGTGAGTTTGAATGCTCACATAACGACAAATGCATGTTTTGTTCTTAATTAAGTCTTTAAGTACATTCTCCTAATTGAGAACTACCAACAGCACATAGTAAACTTGCACTAAAATGAAGGAACATGCTTAGTCTGACATTAACTAAAAAACAGCGCCATCTAGTGGATCAATGAGCAATTTGTTGTTTTTGTGAATTGGCGCACTTAAAGTTGTATGAAAAGAAATGGATAAATCTTTTATCTGACAAAATAAATAAGATTTATAAAAAATGGCTTGTATATTAAACAGTTTGATGTTTTTCGTGTTTTTTTGCACAACTCGAGTGCTTTTAGATAAAACCATGAAAAAAATATGATTAATCATTTGATCAAATATATAAACTAATAATAATAATAATAATAAAGCTTTGTGCAAGTAATCTGTATATTTCTGAAAAGTGTGATAAAATCGTGGGATGATTTTATATTCGTATCTTTTAACTATATGAAGTAAGCTGCGATACATGCAAAACGATCGTCTAAATATGTGCAACATAAAAGTCCCTTCCCTTCATCAGAACAGTGGTTCAAGAAATAAATGGGCTAATTTACAAAATTAGATATTAAAAATTAATTTAAATTCTTATTTTATTATTTCTTAATTTTGGTAATATTTAGCTTAAAATAGGACCTACTTAAAATAATATTAAATAACCTAAATGTACATACAAATTATATTTTGCATTTCAAAAGTACAGAAAATACTACATATTTACATTTATTAAATTATTTAACCACCTTTAGATACGCTTATAAGTTTTACAAATGTCGAGAAGTGTACCCAAAACATGGAAATGACTTTGCTTACCATAAAAACAGCTTTAATTTTAACCTGTATATAATGACAGTTTTTAAAGGGCAAAATTCTTATTCTTAGTATTCAAAATTAGTAGGACAAAACATTTTTCAAGTTTTGAAAATTGTTTTGTTGTTAGCATATAACGGATGCATGCTGCCATACACACACTGATGTTTTTCTAAAAGACGCACAGATTAAAAACAAAAAGTTTTTCTTGCTTCTCAGCCATATTTATGATTCTGACTTCACAATATTTGCTGCAGGGGTCGAAGCAAGCGGAGGTCTTTCCTTTCCCAAAAGGAAAAAAAGGAGAAGGGGGAGAAAGAAAGAAAGGTCTACACAGGAAAAAAGGTGGTCCCACTCCGAAAACACCGTTTCCAAGCAGGCGGTCTCAATTTCATACTTTTCTTTTCGTATCGCCTCGTTTCCGAAGTGATACAAACACTTTAACAACCCTTATTTTGGACTGAATATCTTTGTTTTAGCAAATACTAAAGGGATGCTGTTTTTAACCGAATTAAAGTTTTAGAAATGCGGTGAAGTGAAGGGAAGAGCTGTAACTGGGGTGAGGAGGCTGGCGCTGGGAATCTTGCCTTTTTACTCCCACCATCGCCAATAAGAAAATACACTGTTAAGGTAATTTTCACCTTTGTTTGGACTTTTAAAGTTTCCTGTTTTAGTTTTAAGATGCCTTTGTTGTCGATAAAACCGAACGGAGTACGGAAACCGTAGTGATTTATTTCGATTTTTGTCCCAGGCCTCGAGAAAACAATTGATTTGTGCTGGACACGGAGTTTTTTTCTGATTTTAGGTGGTATATCCGCTATATCGTTCGCTTTAAAGTGTTTTAACAGTTTAACGACTCTATAATATGCCTGGCTCCGTTTAGGCCTGCAGCGGCTAACTTAACGGAGTTGAAGAAAAATGTTTCGAGTTGGTTTTGAGCGATGAATAAGTGAACAAGTGTCTCACTTTGAGTCTTTGTGGGGGGCCAGCAATTTTTTAATGGCGAAGTTCATAAGTTTGTCTATACGTTTAACACTACTAACGCAAAAGTTTAGTAAGTGCTCGACTGATATGTTTTGGTAACGTTAGCTATAATAGGAGAATTGGCTGCACAGTTGTTGATTTGCTCGTTTTTCTGATGCGGTTATTACACAGCGTCGTAAACCGCTTATCACAATAACTCCAAATATCGTTGCGTCACACTTTTAGTGATATTGTGATTAATTGATTGCGCAAAATGTTATCGTTGTGACATTGTGTAAACTAATATATTTGATATCTCCGTTTTCACCTATGCAAGATGGCTATCTCTTATCTGTCTGACTGTCTCTTCTACTGTATCTATCTATCTATCTGTCTGTCTGTCTGTCTGTCTGTCTGTCTGTCTGTCTGTCTGTCTATCTGTCTATCTGTCTGTCTGTTCCAACATAATTGAAATATAGCAGTTATGTTTATCTATCTATCTTGCCTAACATAATACATAATTGAAATATAGCATGTATCTTATTCTATCTATCTATCTATCTATCTATCTATCTATCTATCTATCTATCTATCTATCTATCTATCTATCTATCTATCTATCTATCTATTTGTCTGTCACAACATAATTAAAATATAGAAGTTATGTTATTCTATCTATCTTGCCTAACGTAATTGAAATATAGCAGTTATGTTATTCTATCTCTCTATCCATCCGTCTGTCCGTCTGTAGGTCAAGTGTAGCATATTTGTTTGTTGGTCTTAACATGTGAGATAAGCTACTTCAAATGCAAAATTTCTAATTCGAGTTATTCATGCAATTTAGTAGGTAATTTAAATAAAAATAAGTCTAGACGTTCTGGACAATATTAAATTGTTACAAACAGATTATTTAGATGTTTAAATATCATGTTGGTCATGCTTAATATCAAACTCAATCTACTTCTAACACTTTCGGTAAAATGCATACACCATATGCATAACTTGCATGCATATATAATCAGGGTTTCCACGCTTCTTGAAAGTACCTAAAAGTGCTTGATTTCAAAACATGAATTCAATTCCTAGAGAGTACTTAAAAACAAACACAGGTCTTTGAAAGTCCTTGAATTTGAAGTTTATGGTGTTATTTCAACAATTTTACTTCTCTGAACATAACTTTAAAACGGTTGTTTGAAATGATCAACATTTAAAAAAATTACATTCAAAACATCATTATTATGACATTTTAATTTACAAATTAAATGTAAGTGAAATGATAAGTCAAGAAGGACTCGTATGGCGCTACATATGATGGGGGTGTGAATTACAAAGGTGCTGGATTTAAAATATTAGTGAATTAAAAAGTCCTTGAAAGTCTTTGAATTTGGTGTCTAAGTAAGTGTGGGAACCCTAAATAATGCTAAGCAAATGTCTTACAATGTGTAAGGTTTCCTTTTCTTTTTATTTCAGATTATTATCCATAAATTTCTCATTGATTGGAGTTCAGTTAATTCTGGAGTATTGATTGGAGAGGTTACTATAGTGTTTGACTGGACGTGTCCTCTCGTGGCATTTGCCGGTGTGGCACTGCACCGTGCACCGTTTGGATGTTGCCTGGGAGATGAGGATGTGCTGCTGGCACCAGGAAGGTCGGAATTTGATGTGATGGGGTGCAGGACAAGCAAAGTCCTCCCAGAACCACCCAGTGACGTCAAACTTGACCTGGTCAAAAAGGTAGAGCCGCATCAGACGGATGTCTACAAAAACTTCATCAAATACGATGGTGGTGGGGAGAAAACAGGCTCGCCGTCCCCTCAGGGTCAAAGCCAGGCTGTTGCAAAGGTGAGCCAATCCCCTCCACCGGCTAATGACCAGCCAGAACCTGCTGACTCACACCGGAAGAAAGTAGCCAAATACAGAGCCAAATTTGACCCTCGAGTGACTGCCAAGTATGACATTAAAGCTTTGATAGGTCGGGGCAGTTTCAGTCGGGTAGTACGAGTGGAACACAGGAGCACACGGCAGCCATACGCCATTAAGATGATTGAGACGCGCTACCGTGAAGGCAGAGAAGTATGTGAATCTGAACTTTGCGTCCTACGACGTGTGCGCCACACTAATATTATCCAGCTAATGGAGGTGTTTGAGACGGCTGAGCGGGTCTACATGGTGATGGAGTTGGCCACTGGTGGAGAGCTGTTCGACCGCATCATCACCCGTGGGTCTTTCACAGAAAGGGACGCCACACGGGTGCTTCAGATGGTTCTTGATGGGGTGAAGTACCTCCATACATTGGGCATCACGCACAGGGACTTAAAGCCGGAAAACTTGCTTTACTACCATCCTGGTGCTGATTCCAAGATTATGATCACAGACTTTGGCTTGGCCAGCACACGAAAGAAAGGGGACGAATGTTTGATGAAGACTACCTGTGGAACACCTGAGTACATCGCTCCCGAGATACTCGTTCGCAAACCATACACTAATGCAGTAGATATGTGGGCACTGGGTGTCATTTCCTACATCCTGCTCAGTGGAACCATGCCTTTTGAGGATGACAATCGAATGCGTCTGTATCGACAGATCCTCAAAGGAAAATACAGCTTCTCTGGGGAGGTAAGGACTGTGAGAATTACTACGGTTATGTTTTAGTGGAAGCATTTATCCAAGTGACTTTGCATTCAAGCTTTTGCTGGGAATTGAACTTGTGACCTTGCTAGTGCCATGCTTTACAGTTAGAACTAAACCAAAAGAAAGGTGCAGCTGTTTTTTTTGTGACCACAGCAAGTGTACTAAATGTGTGTGTAAAAATATGAATGCCAAATCTGAAATGGAAAAAATAAAAACTGGAAAGCTTAAAATAGATATACTTGGGCATTCAGGTAAACAACAAGCATGTTGGCAACCTCAAAGGGGTAAATACTCTTTCAACTTTGATATGCTTGTGTCACAGGAACAGATCTACAGATGCATTTATTATTACTCATAAAGTATAAGCTTAACCAAAAAGGATAATTCATAGAAAGTAAGATCGGCTTCACGAAATATATTTCAGTTGCTGAAAATGGTAAAACTTTCACCAGGGTGGCGAGCTACCTGGATTGGATTTAGGAACTAATGCTTAAAAAATAAAATGTAATTTGCAGACATTAGCCAATAAGGCCCAATCCCAACTCTACCCCTTAGCCCTTACCTCTACACCTTTACGGGAACGCGCAAAATGAGAGGTGTCTCAATTCTCTTTAGCTTGAAGGTGTAGGTCTAAAGCCGCCATTCCACTGCACACGACATTTGGACACAAATGTCGGAAAATGCCCCCTAGTGGCAGTCACACTATTCTGAGAAGCTGTTCTCGCAGTGTCTGAAACAAAGGACTGCAAAACCAAGAGCCTTTATTCTCGGTGCGTTCACCATGGTTGAATGAATGAATAGATACTAGAAACTCATAGAATGTTAAAAATATTGGAGGCAATGTGGAGACAACATAAAACATTTTATTTTTATTACTTTAATACTTTCATTTATGAATTGAAATGTTTATATATATATATATTTATATTTATATATATATATATATATATATATATATATATATATATATATATATATATATATATATATATATATATATATATGTAGACTTTTTCTGATTCAAAAATTTACCAAATAAACTTCTATGTCTCATCTCGTGCACATGGACCTGCTTGGACAATTCTGAAATACGTCACATCTGCATACAAAGATGATCGGAACTCCAAACAGCTCCCGGACTACTCTCCATTGGAAATTATTGACTTCCGGTCTGTCGCTTGTCGTTTGTCGTGTGTAGTGGAAAGGTGGCTTAAGGAGAAGGGCTAGATACCCCTTCGAGCTAAGATTTTTTTAGGACCAACACTTGAAACCAAGGGGTTAGAAAATTTCCCAGAATGCACCAGCTACAACGGCAGGATACTTGCACCCAAAAGAAAGGAGATGAACAAATGAGCAATTTCCATCATTATTAGAAATTTTTACAACAAGTAAGCATATGTTTTTACATATTCATAACCGCGTTCGTGTGTTACCGTCATGCTTTAAAAAATAAAATAAAATAAAAAAATAAATAAAATAAAACCGCTAAATTTCGCTATCTATATTCCATAATCGTAACTCCTGTATAGCAATCTCACAACATTCACAACACTCGATGACACTCGAATACCCTGTCAGAAAATATGCCTAATAATGTGCATAATATATGCTTTCAGTGATTTTCTGAAGATGAATACTAAAGAATAACGCAATTGGAATAACTACAGCAGTCGAGATAATCTGATCTCATATGAAGCAAGAGATCGTGATGACATATGATGACGTGTGCAGGTGCTGTAGTGCTGTCGCATTTTTTAGGGGTAAATTTTGAAGGCCTTCCCCTTCACACTCGGTTTTAAGAGCCAAGGGGAAGGGGTAGGGGTACAAAAATAGAATTGTGATTGGGCCTAAATAAATTAGTTAAGGTAATCTAACAATGAAAGTACTTGTAATGAAATTGTTAAATGTGATTCTGTTTTACACGAGTAAAACACAAAATAAGGAATAATCGGGGTGATATTTTAATTGGCTGGAGTAAATAATTCTGGTTATATCATGGTTACAGGCACATTAATAATCTTAGACATTTATCATATTTTGTGATATTTGGCTAGATTTGTCATCCCTTTTCCAACTCAAACCTCCATTGCAAAATAGAGAGCTAGTAAAGTTTGTTTACACCGGACGTTCCTGAGACTTTTATTTCAGCATGTTGATGTAATTCCAACTTTTTGCTTGTTAGAAGTGACGTCACGTAAAGTGGCTTCCGTGTCCAAGTGGTCTATCAAACTGTACACTCAAAAAAAAACATTTTGCAAAATTGTTGCAAACAATTTATGTTAAATTTAAACAAACAAATTAAATGTTAAATATCTAACTTTGTTTGTTTGTTTAAAAACCCAAATTAATTGTTTGCAACCACTTAACTGTTTTTGTAAATCCAAGAATCATCTTTGAATAATTTTTTTCAGTGTATGGGCTAACTCAACAAATGGTAATAATAAACGTTTATAAAGTGATGTAATACTTTTGAAAATCACGATCGCAATATATATATATATATATATATCCATGTCTAATATCTGATGATTAGAAAGTGATAATTTTTTTTCTAAATTGTTGAAATATTGATGTCTGTGATGTAGCAAGTTCAGAGACTGTTGTATACACCATGATTTTATAAAAAATTCACTTTAATTTTATGACTAAAAAGTGTTCATAAACAGATATTTTCTTAATTTAAGCGAGTAGCGGCTTGGACCTGGAAACAGTAACTCAACAAGCGGATATTAAGTAAGGGGCGGGGCTTTTGTTTAGCTCATCATTCCCTCAAAGCAAACTAATGGTAAGACGAGTGTGGTTAAAAACATTGTGACTGAAGCTTCAAACTGACATTAACAGAGAAGAACCACCACTCCTTACATGTAAACAAATAATCAGAATTTGATTGAAAATTGCCATAAATAACATTTATATTACAGTGAAATAACTTGCACGGAATAATTGTTCACCTAAAGCAGGGACTCACAAACTTTTTAGCCCACGACCTGCAAAATAACAATACCAGTATCTCTCGACCCCCATTATCCTCTGATGTGGTCAAAATGTACAATCACTGTGCACAAAGGAGCACACACACCAATAGGCCTAAATACACACTTATATTTTGACAAAAAAAAAAAAAAAAATGTTTTTATGTTAATTTATTTGCGTAATTTTAACATGAACCTCACCTAATTAGATTGGAGGGCAACGAGTTTTTGGAACACAAGAAGTTATTTAATATATAATAACAACATTATTGGATTAATTTTGAAGACCGCCATCATACATGGAATTCAGTTGTTATTTGTATTTTTTGCTTGAATGCATGTATGTGAGTGCTGAATAGGTGTTGGAAAGTGTAACATGGTGGTGTAAAATTGATCTGCTGTGTCTTTAATTTAATCACACAGGGCTTGCAATCAAAAAGCTGATTTTTTTTTTATTTGCATGTCTTATTTTTTGCACTTTTATTTTTTATCTTTTGAAGTATATGGATAAAATAAGGTACTGTTCATTTCATTCAGTTGCCTATGGCTTAGTCCCTTTTTTATCAGGTATTGCCACAGCAGAAATAACCGTAAACTATTTCTGCACCCATACACATTTATATGCGCACTCATACATTGTGGCCAATCTAATGTACCCAATCTAATGATCCCCACTCACTGTTGTGCGACCCCTACTTTGGGAACCACTGAGCTAAAGTATAACAATGTGTGCTAGCAAAATAAACACTGTAAATGTAGATTTTATGTAAACTTTTAGCCATTGATAGCTTAGTGTAGATATGAGATACTAAAACTGTATGAATTTACCTGCATCTCTCAGCAGTGTTCAGCAGCAGTGTCTCTACTAATAGCAAATAGATTTTTTTATTGACAAAATCATCGCAGTAAACTGTTTCGTTTTCGTCAAGTCAAGTTCCGGACCCTTGCTAGTTTCCAGCAGGACTGTCTGATAAATGGACAACTATAGCACAGGTTAATGTAAGCAGTGTGACAAAACAAAGTGGTAATATATACTCTGGTTCATTTGTGGCACTTATTTTTTTGTCGGTATCATCTAACAATATTTAATATCTAAAGTAGGGCTGAACACTATATAGTTTGAGCATTGATATCACAATGATAGATCACAATCTAAATTAATAAAATATTTCCAAATAGAGCTAATTAAATCATCTGGTAAAAATATATATTCTTATCGCAAAATATATTGCAGCAAAATAAAATATTGCAATGTCAGATTTTTCCATTATCGTGCAGCCCTAATCTAAAGCCTTATTTCCTTCAAAGCATTTCTGATCTGATAACATTACGACCCTCCCCCAATAAAGATGTAAAATGTGACAAGAGTTTCATATGACACATGATAATTTTAAAAAACAGTATCACAAACACAGTGAGCAGCCAAAACAATTTATACTTTAACTAAATCACTGGAGAAAATGAGAATATGTAACTCAGACCTTTCAAAGAAACCAGGTTTGTGGCAACATTTTTCTTACTACATTCAGCTTTAGCAATAATCAGCATGTTAAGAGGATTCAACATAAACAATGTATGTAATAATCGTTAGGAAAAGTAATTGTAGTTGTCAAAGAAAGACAATTTAAATTTGACATAGTTAACATTGTTTCTAGGGTTGCTGACCAATTTGGCATCATATGAGGTTTAATGTGTAACATTGTGATGGACAATGGCATCGTCGCTGTAGGCGGTGGTGACTTGATTATTTATAAAGAATTAATAAAATTAATTACGTATTTGTTTAAATTAATTACATATTTGTAGCCTACTGTATACACTATTCAATCAGCCTATATGAAATAATAAAAATAACAAAAACTGCCTGCTGATGCATGGGTAAATCTTCAAAAGGAACATCTTAACAGTGAAAACATAATATAAGGAAATTTGTTTTATTTTGATATTATGATATACAGACACTAAACGGCCTTGTGTAGCTGCATATTTATATGACCGTCATCTTCACTCTGC